TTTGACATATTTTCATAGATTTTTCATGTACCTTTCTAAGGTATACATCAATATTATAAATACTAGGCCTCTACAAATATCTTCATCAGGTAAATGCAAAACTAAATGAACCAAAATGTCAAAAACGCAGGAGGATAGATCATTTCTAATTTGCATAATATTTTAATAATGGCTGCTTTCACTTCTTTCATATCCTTCACCGATAGTGTTCTCAAGAAAAGTTGCTTAAAAAACATAAAAAGCTCTACTATTGGTGTATAAATACCTTTGCCCAAAATCCCTTTAACTCCAATGGATATCAAACATTGCATAAGAATGTGATAATCATGAGATTTCAGCGCAATAATGTTAGAATTGTTTTCATTCATTTTCTTACTGATCTTAGATCCAAACCCATCCGACAGTTTCACATCCCTTATAAACTTACAACAGGGCCGTTCCAAACATATTTTGGGCCCAGGGCGAGAGAAAAAAATAGGCCCCTAAAATACATAAATGTCATCAAGTTTTTTATAATAACTCAATAATTGAAAGAAAATTACCTGTGTTATCTTCTAAATATAACCATTTCCATAAAAAAATTTGGGCCCTTTTGAAAGATGGGCCCTGGACGGTCGCCCCTATCGCCCACCCTCTGGGACGGGCCTGACTTACAATAAAGAATACGGTCAGGTTTCATGAACGAATGAGGTAGATGGGGCTTAAGGAACTTGTTGCCACTCTTTTTCAACCATTGAATTTTATGAATGTTAAGTTTTGTCAATTCCGCCGAGTATTTGATATGTTCTTAGACTTATCATTCATCAGAGAAGTACCCAAAAGACTCTTACCCACATTTTTTTTTTCAATATGCATAAGATCAAAGTTGTGCTTAAGTTCCAGAGAAGACCAATACTCAAGTTCAAAGAATATGCTCTTTTTAGACCAATTCAACTCGAAATCCTCACTATCTCTCTTAATACCAGCTCGTTGAGCCGCTACTTTACTTGGTGGACTAAATAATATACAACCCTGTTGTGCTTGTATTTCTTCCTTACTAAACTATCTTGGCGGGTCTCTTGTCTCATGTTTGCCATTATAGTCCAAACTTTTTCTCCTTGGATGGTCAGCATCTAAGAATCGGCGATGACCAACATATACGACTTTATTTGATACTCAGTCTAAGGGAGTGTCTTCATTTCAAGTTGGACAAGCTTTGTACCCTTGTCCGCTCCAACCGGATAAACTACTATGAGTTGGAAAGTCGTTTATTGTCCACACCAACATTGTTTTCATATTGAAGAATGTATTTGTGACTGCATCTTTAGTACGTACACGAAAACTCCATAACTGCTTCAACTCATCCACCAACGGCCTAAGGAACACATCCAAGTCCTTCACGGGTGCTTTGGGGTCGGGAATAAAAAAGGTCAACATGAAGGAGGACTCTTTCATGCATAGCCATGGTGGAAGATTGTAAGTGGTGAGTATGACGGTCCACGTGTATGAGGATTATACATGTTGCCAAACGGATTAAAACCATCAGTAGCAAGCCCTAAGCGTACGTTTCAGGGTTCCCTCAAAAAGTCAAGATACTTCATATCAAATTTTTTCCATGAAGTTCCATCAACGGGATGAATCATAGTACCATCTTTGGATCGTCTGGTATTGTGCCAAATCATATCTTTACATGTGTGTCTAGAACAGTACAAACGTTGTAGTCTGGGGGTCACGAGAAAGTATTGTAACACCTTATGAGCTACCTTCTTACCCTTTGTATTTTCATCAACCCACCGACTCTCATTACAAACTAGACACTTTTGCAACAACTTGTGTTCTTTCCAAAAAAGAAAGTCGTCGTTTTTTCATAAATCTATTGACTTATAACCCAAGCCGATCTTTTTAAGTGTCTTTTTTGCTTCATAATGTGACCCGGGGGGGGGGGGGGGTTGTTTCCTTGAGGAAATGCAGTTTGAAAACCTCAAGAAGCTAATCGAATGAACTATCAGTCCATTTGTTGATCACCTTGATATGCATCAACTTTGCTAAAAAGTCAAGGGATGAAAACTAACACCCATGATATAATTTTAATTGGACTTCCTTTAATAGCTTTTGAAATCCATCATCGACATCACTACCCTCTTATCCAAGTTTCCTTTGTTGCGGTTGCCATCATTTTCAATCACACCCCCAATAACATCGACAATAACATCGATAATTTCGTTACTATGCGTTATATGTTCTACAACCGGATGAACTGTATTTTCGCCGTGATACTTCCATATAATATAATGTGGACTAAAACCATGTTGAAGTATATGGAATATCATTATGGCTAGCAATATAAATTTATTGACATTAGATTTGTTACAAGTGCATCTGATTTGACCTTTATAATTGACGTGCGGTTTTGACCTCTCGAGAAAAGATTCGAGTCCTTGTTGGAACATGGTAGAGTTACGATTTTCAATAGTAGTCCATGTTTTATCAATAGACATGTTGCAACTGAAACATACGTTAGGTTTTAGTATTTACTCTACAAGAACTAAAATTAGGATTGGATATTTATAAGGATAGAGTAATCGCTCAATCAGATGGAATAGAAAACCGGACAACGGAAGAGTATTCACAAGGGTAGACTTCTAAACCCACTTTTTGAATACCTTACCTCATATGAAAATGTTTATTACATAATTGACCGTTTAAGAAAAATTCAACAACATTTCCCATCAACTCCTAAGTATGTATAAAATTATATACCCGACGAGCAAAAAAAAAAAAAAAAAAATAACAACCGAATCTTTCTTAAACAATCAATCATGTAATACACATTCACATCCTAAATGAAGTATGGTATTCAAAAAGCACTCCCAAAATAGGGACAACCCGAAATTAATTTCTACATCAATTTCGAGCGGATATTTTTAGGATTTTGACGACTTAAACGGAAGAGACTTAAACTAACAAAAACTTACTTTTTTATTAAAGCATTGTATTTTAAATAATCCAGTTATTAAATTATAACTTAGTAGATTTAGCGTCTTAATTTTTTATTATACATTGTATTTTAAACGATAGTATATATTTGTTATTTATATCATTTTTTTCAATATTTTGATTTTAATAGGGATATATACAGTAAAGTTCCGATATTTTCATCAAATTGACACGAAAGTCCCAAACTATTTTTTTTGACACAAAAGCCTTAATATCGGCCTTTATTGACACGATTGACCTTTTATGCCGGTAACTCATTCAATACCCGGTAATCGAGCTGATGTGGCTACTATCGTTTACCTGGAGGGTGATGAGGACATCATTAAATGAATAAGGGTGAATCGAGCAGGAAAAACCTCTCTTTCTACTGCGACGATTTTAGGGTTTTTACAGTGAAGGAGATACGAGTTGGAGCCTTGAAGATGGAAGGTGTGTTGGACTTTGACACAATCGCCGTGGAACTAGATGAAGACCTTCTAAAGAAACAGAGTACGAGATGTAGAGATAATGGAATTGAGTTAAGGAACCTATTCTGGAAGGCTGCCAAATCAACTATAGAGGGGGAATTCAAGAATAACATGGATAAGATTAGACAGATTAGCCCAGGTGCTTATGAACATCTAATGGCAAGGGAGCCAAATACATGGTGTAGGGCTTTCTTTTTTACTGGATTAGCCTGTAAGGCTGTAGAAAATGGCATAGTAGAATGCTTCAATGCAATTATACTTGATGCTAAGAAGAAGCCACTGCTCACCATGCTTGAAGAGATAAGGCTATATATGATGGACAAGTTTTACAACCTCAGGGAGTTAGCTGAAAAATGGGAAGGTGATGTGTGTCCATCTACAATTAAGAAAATAGAGGAATTTGGTGAGGACTTGAAGTAAGTTCTTCTTGTTTTGTATACATTTATGCTAAGTTATTAATAACTTGTATGCTAACTTAGTAATAAATTTTATTTGCAGGTTTTGGAGGGTACACCCTAGTGGACAAAATGAATTTGAAGTTAGAAATGGTTTTGAATCATATGGAGTCAACATAGAGAAAATGAGTTGTGCATGTAGACTTTGGGATGTATCAGGGATACCATGTGTCCATGCCCAAGCATCTATCATGTTAACTCACCAGGATCCAAAGACATTTATCAACAGGTGGTTTTGTAAGGCGATGTATATTTCAAGTTATAGTTCTAACATTATACCTTTCAATGGAAACAATTTACGGGAAGAAGCTCCTTATATTAAGCCCTTACCCCCTGGTGAGGAGGATGCCAGAAAGGCATGTCTCAGAGAGGGGTGACAAGTTCTCCCAAGTGTCCTCAAAGGGCAGAACTGTCCAAAGTCTAAACTGTAAACAAAAGGGGCACAACCAGAAAAGATGTAAAAATCCACATGTTGAACCAGATCCTAAACCCAAAAAGAAAATAGGTAGGCCAATATTGGACCCTAGTCTAATCCAATGGACAAGACGTGGTTGAGAGGGGAGGGAGGAGGGGAAATAGAGGAGGTGGTAGGGTACCCAGAGGTGGGGGAGGGGTACCCATAGGTGGGGGTGGCTTTCATAGCTGGTTTGAAAGAGGCGAAACCTCAAATACAGTACCATCCCAAAAAAGGGTCAATAAGCAATATAACTCTAATGAGATGGTGGATGTAGATGTAGTGAGTGATGGAGATGGACTGGATATGGCAGATATGGACTACATTATACAACAAATTACACAGTTGAGGGAATCATGTTACACTGATGTAGACATTATGACATGCTTTGGAATTACAAAAGCTCATTTACAAGAGTTTGGATATGTGGTAAGGTTTCACTTAGTGTTTATGTATATAATTCAATGTTTTTTTACTAATTTTATTATTATTATTTTATTTTTTTAGGCTGCCAATGTTGAATGTGGACTGGAATGAGATGGAAAAGGTAATGAAGAAGAAGAAGGACATGGACAAGGAGATGGAGTGGAAGGAGGTGGAGAGGGACAATGTAATGAAGAAGAATAAGGATATGGATAAGGAGATGGAATGGAAGGAGGTGGAGATGGACCAGGTAATGAAGAAGAAGAAGGAGATGGAGATGCGAATGAAGAAGAAGGTGGACAAGGAGAAGGAGATGGAGAAGAAGAATATGGAGAAGGAGATGAAGGAGAAGGAGAAGGGGATGAAGTGGAAGGAGTTGAAGATGAAGATGTTCAAGGAAATGAAGAAGGTGGAGAAGGAGTTGATGCTGTTCCAGTTAATGATCCAGTACAACAAGGCATTTTCGGAATAATATGCAACAAAGAACAAGGAGACCCTCATAGAGGATCATTCTTTAGAAGCTAAAAGAGAAGGTGGTTGACCCTCTTGGTATAGGAATGTGTCAAGCTAAGGCATTTATTTTAGATTAAGGATAGGGGTTATATCAATTTGGTGCATATTATCTTTTGGTTAGTATTTTGTAAACATTGTTGCATATCATCTTTTAGTTCATATTTTGTAAAAGGTGGTACTATGTAAACTGTTGCATAGCATCTTTTGGTTCATATTTTGTAAATGGTGGTACATATCCACCTATATTGGATCATATTTTGTAAACAATAACTAGTAGTAAGCAATGGTCGGAATTGGTTAATGTCATATTTTAGTTCAAATTTGGTTGTGCAGGTTAGCCTTGGTTAATGACAGTGTTATTATTCATATTTGGTTCATTGCAGGTTGTACTTTGATTTCACCATAATTTAATACAACATTAGTAAAATGTTGATTACATTGCAAAAGAAACAACATTGTACATATGGACTACATTATCTTAAAATACAAACCAATACATAAACCCAAAATAAACCACATCATTGACTACCCTGGAACAACATCACATGCACTTTGCACTTGAGCTGGAACAACTTCTATTACTGCTTCTTCCATTTGTTCTACAACATCTCCATTCTACCCATTGTGCAATTGTAAGAGCAAGTCCTTGTACTACTGATTAGGGAGTGGAGGATCCACCCAATCAAAGAATTTGCAATCCTTACTCGAATCTTGGATAATCCAAGATTAAAGAAAGAAAAAAACCTAAAAGATGAAGAATTTCAACATTAACAACTAACCCTATAATTTGGGCATCCAATGAATCTTCTTCCAGGATTTTCTGTCATCCATGAAGTCCACCTTCCAACCAAGTCACCATAATCGCAATGTGTCCTTTGAGGGGGATTGAACCTTCTCATAGTCTTACTTCCAACAGATGAAGAAGACGACATTCTCGTCTTTTCCTTTGAAAAATACGAAGCTAGGGTTCATGGGGATTGAAGATCTGGAGCTTAAGTAAGGTCGAAAACTCCACATAAGCCTCTCATTTAATGAATCAGTGGTCAACGTAAACATTTGGTGCCACTTCACCAAGCAAACCGGCTGCACCAGAAAAAAGGTCAGAAGTATCGATAAATACCGGTAATTAGGGCTTTTGTGTCAAAAAAAAATTAGTTTGGGACTTTCGTGTCAACTTGATGAAAATATCGGGACTTTACTGTGTGTGTGTATATATATATATATATATATATATATATATATATATATATATATATATATATATATATATCCCTTTTCAATTATAAAATCTTATCATAACATACATTATACACACATATACATACAATATACACATATTCTATCATAACATACAATATACACACATACAAATACACTTATACACACACTTTTGCACATATATTTTTTCATACATACAAATACATTTCATATACAAACACATATATTTCATAACAAACACCTACATTTCATATACATACATTTTTTCATATATATATATATATATATATATATATATATATATATATATATATATATATATATATATATATATACACACACACACACACCTACATTTCACATAGAAATACACTTATACACACATTTTCACATACACTTTTTCATTCATACACATAGATATACAATTTTTCATACACATTCATACATACACATTTGAATATACATTTTTACATATGTATTCATACATTTCACATACATAGATTTAAAAAAAAAAAAAAAAAAAAAACCTGTCAAATTAACTGTTGCCGGAAAACATAAGCTGTTGCTGGATATTGAAGTCGGTGGTGACGACGGTGGTGTTGTGGTGGTGGAATTCACCGGATATTCAAAGCACCAAAATAATGTAATTAGGGTGAAATATTGGCAAGAAAACAAAAGAAAGAGAAAACGCACGTTGTCGAAGGTTATTGTTGTCGCCGGAAAAAGTCAGAAAACACCGGAAAACGAAGGCCTAAAAGCAATCTCTGGTTAGTGGTGGTTTGTGTTGGTGTACTACACTGGAAAATCGAACCACAAAACGGTAGTGATCATCGTCGTCGGAGTTTTGGGAGAGGGAGGAAAATGCGTAGGAAATGGGGTGTTTGGGACGAAGGGGGATCAAAAGGAGCTTGCATTTAGCGATGACACCAGAGCAATAGTGACGGCATGTTGGAGGAAAAATCACGCGCCTTTCTACCGTGATTATTAAATGTCCAATCCAAAAATAATCGAACGACCAAGATTACATTTACGCGGATCACCATCAATAGCGGAGACATGTCATCGCAATTGGTATCGCCTCTAATACCTCCTATGAGATTAAACCCTAACCGATGAGTCAGTATAACGGCGTACAGTATGGATCAACTTTCGTGTGGTACGAGAGGATTGCCGGTGGAAGGTCATTAGCAACATCGTCTATAGCGATGATGGTAACCTTTAGCAGCGACATTTTCTAATGTCGCCGCTAAAGGTTACCGTCGTCGCTATAGACGATGTCGCTAATTTGCTTATGTCGCCGCTAAAGGTTACCGTCGTCGCTATAGACGATGTCGCTAATTTGCTTATTTCTTGTTATGGGTGTATGCTAAGGCATGGTAAGACATGTCACATAAGCATAACATAATGCTAAGACATGCTAAGGAGTGGTGGTGTGTTATTTGATTTTGAAAAAAAAAAAAACACCATTAAACAGCTAATCATAAAAAAACCATACACATTCTCCTCTCTATCTCTCTCCTCATGCTTGAACCAACGAGCTCATATTGATGCAAACCCTTAGCATGTGCTAAGGGATGGTGTTGGCGCATGCCAAGCATGCTGACGACTCCTCAGAGCCTTAGTGTTATGATTGTAAAAATAGGGATGACATCAAGTCATGTTTCACAAAGAAAAAAAAAAGGTCACAAATAAAAATCTTTTGTGCAATTATAAATAATCTCCACGAACTCTACGTGTATGTCAATTTACATCTCAGGACTTTAATTGTTTGTATAAAAATAAAGCAGGGTTCATGATATAGAAACGGAAAGTAGTACATACATATTGGAAAGGTATTAGAACAAACAAAAGAAGAATGTTTTGTGAACAAGTTAGAAACTTAAAATAATCAAAATCTTGAACTTTGATGATGATAAAATTTGACGGTTTTGACTTTTTGTCAAAGTCAGACATCTAGCATAAAAATGTAACTACTTGGAATATCTTCTATATATGTTAAAAAATTGAGTTTGGACTATAAACAAAAAAAAAATGGATCCACTCAGCTTGATAATAATCATTTAGCCATAACATAACCGCTTTTTGGTAAAAATCTAACTTTAGACGAGAATTTGAAAAATTATATTTATGATTAAGAATCTAATTGAAGTTTGCTATTTGGGAAAAAACAAATATTGTTACATCATAATGATACTTTAAACCACAAACAAGGTGATTAAGAAAGGCATGGAATGAAATTGTGAATTCCATCACTAATAATAAAAAAATGCAATGGGTAAAATGGTTATTAGTGTGTGCTTATGCAAAGGATCTTAAAAACATGGACAAAGTCAAATTTTTTGAAGCTATTAGATGGTAACATTAAGTTTGAAAATACATGTGTTTGGTTAAACATCATATAATACATCATTTAGATATAAAAGACTAAAATATAGCAATTTTAGTTAAGCTTGTGTTTTGCGTGCCACAGCTAGCTGATAAGCTAGCTTATTTTTCGAGTTTTTTTTATGTTGTTGTGTTTGGTAAGTCAAAAAGTAGCTGATAAGCTAGCTTTTTGAAAATCTACTTATACTAGTTTTTTAGGAGTTTTTTTTTTAAATTTCCAAATACACCCCTTAATTAATTATATAAACGCATGCTCTTACATGTCCTTTTATGTAATTTTTTATATTTCAACTGACTTTTCAGCTAGTTTTACCAAACGTCATTTTTTATCAGTTAACTTTTCAGCTATCAGCTAAGATTTTAAGAACTAGTTTTTCAGCTATCAACTACTTTTTCAGCTAACAGTTAACTTTTCAGGTAGTATGTCAAACATACTCTAAGTTGTTGTTATAAATATAAAACTTGAAAATTTTGGAAATGACTTAAAACTTGAATATATTATTATTTGGCATGTAGAAGGAAAGATATTAAAAGGTTTGGATGAATAAAATAGTCATTTTTCTTAAAATTTAAAAATATTAAAACTTGAATGGTTAAAGTAGATAAATATACTAAACATATATTGTTTAATTATATGATATGGAAGTAACCCACATCTTAATAAAATCCGATGCTTGGTTTGTTATGAAAAAAATGAATACGATCGTTGCAAAACTGGAACACAACAATTTACAACTTAACAGTAATAATTTAGATCGTTTAGAAACTAATTGTAATATAAATGATCTACTAAAAGTCAATTAAGTAATACAACTCTGTACATTGTTTCAGTTAAAACTATGAAGTCATTGCATGTAGCACTTTCTTGTTACGAGTTAATAATCATATTTGTTATTTGTTATGATATAATATCAGATACTGTAATATAAAAACATGCTAATTGTTTTTTTTTTATTGTAAAAACGCAGACAAAAAAAAACAATATTGATAATAAAACAATAAATTAATCGTTTTCACATGTTGGTAGTAATGTTTACCATCGTTTTCGATTCTATAATATTCCAGACATCTGCCCTCTTTATTCTAACTTCAATCATGTCCTTTTTTAAATAATGTGTCGCATCACAATTCACTTTTTTCCGAAAATAGTTAACTTTTTATATTTATCCCGTTGTTTATAATTAACACTTGTTCTAGTATATTATGGTATATATATGTTTTCTTCAAATTTATTAATTAAATAGTAGTAAGTTACGTATGAGAAGAATAACCAAATTTTGTATAAAGTCAAATGTTGCATTTTCAGTATGTTAGAGAATCTTATCCGACTTTTAGTGTGAATACAAACAATCTAAATAATGATTATGAACCGTCTCTTGTAAGTTACAATACAACTTTTAGTTTATGTT